TAACTCTAATGCTATTTTTTCCCTTTCTGAAAATAGATACTATGACAATTCCAACCCAATATAAAAAAAAAAGCTTAAGTAAAAAATGCACAGACCACTTAACAAAATTAAAAAGCTAGGTAAAGCCCGATTTCAAAAGTAGCATGTGTACAGGACACAAATTCCATTCCATCTATCTTCAACTATATAGCTTGTGAATGTTGAGTCAACTGAGAAATCAAATACATGATTTTTACAAACTAAAGATGTAGAAGCTTAAACTTCAGAAAACAAATGTATGTCAAGGCAATTATTTGTAAACTATATAGCTATGCCAATCTCCTACAGGTTCCTAACTTCAGTTTCTTTAAGTTGTGAATAACTGCTTCTTCTTTACATACTTTTTAGAATTAAACAATATTATGGGGGACACACTTAACACAATTCCTGACAAATAATAGGCAATCAAAAATCTTATAGGAAAATTCTTAGTTGGCAATACTCTTGTTATTAAATAACCTTTCTAAATATCACTTTGGGCTTAAAAAGGATAATGCAATCTCATAAAACTCAACTCATTAAAATTAACCCTAGGTTTTTACCCAAACAAAATTACACATACTACAAATATCTAAAATCACTTTTATTAATTAATTTCCTTAGAGAAAAAATTCTAATCATACAAAATATGCTTTAAAATGGGAATGATGGCTTTAAGAAGAAAGAAATGGTTTTTTAAAGTGCGAAAATCAAGTAAACACTAAAACTCCACTATAGTCGTTTTTAAAAATAAAACGCAAACAACTCAGGAAATGTTACATATCATTTAAAATCTACAATAGGTGCATAAGAAAATAAAATCAGCAGTTTAAACATACACACCAATGTATGTCAAAGTAGTATGTTCACACCAAAAAAAATACAACCAGCAAGAAAAACAGATACCATCTCTTTTAAAATTAAAAAAGGGGGGGGAGGGATTATCTTGAACATGGATAATTCAAAAAAGTAAAAAAATGATATAGTATTGCCACTATGAAATATGTGACTCGAAGACCAGAGTGCAGACATGTTTTAGAGAAACATAATCTAATAAAAATATTAATAGGAGATTCCTTTAACTCATTCATTGTGTGTGTGTATAAATCACTTGGTCTCCGTGTGAAGTTTTCTATTAAAAAATAATCACACCAGTCATTTTTCTCAGATGAACATAAGAATATCTATAAATGAATTTAGGTCAGATTGAAAAATTCTAAAAACACAAAATATTATTACAAAAGATAACTATTGGAAATAGTATATTTTAAAATTATCTCTAAAGTTTTTAAGAGCGTAAATCACCATCAAAACAAACTTAGTATGCTTAGAATATTAAAATAAGCATTTTCAAGCTTAATAATTAATTAGGCTTCTTTAAAAGTACCTAGTTAGTACCTTGGTGAACAGAAACTACATTTCTCTCAAAGGAATTTACCTCCAGATGCCCCAATAACTCAAAAGAAAAGTGAAATATTAGTCTAAAATTTTTAGAAGTATTTTCAAATTATGCTTTTCTTAATAAGCAAGAGCGATAAATAACACTATAAAAAGTTAGTCTTTACTTAATTTTGTTATGTCTTATTCTGAGAAAGTAAAAGTATAATAGGCTATGTCAAAATCTAATACAGACATGTCATATGTTTCTATGACAGTCTGATGACAGGTCAGTGTAAAAATTAAATAAGAAATTCATTTAGAAAGCCTTAAAAGTACACTTTTGAGTTCAGTAGTATGGCTGAAATAAAAAAGCTTTCGCACATCAATTGGTATAGCTCTGCTCATGTTTTAAAATCTTAGTAACAATCACTATGCAGAACCAAAACTGTTTACTACCATAGTAAAAATCTTCATTTTCATGCCTACTGAAAGCCTTAATCTTTCTTCAAATACACCACTCTTTTTTTTTCTAAAATAATTTCTAGCACAGGTTCAAAAGTACATTCAAATATCTTCAGTAAACAAATGGGATGAGTGACCTTACAAAGCACCCCAAACACACTTCTTAAAATGCTGAGAGTAATTACGTATTTAATTTCAACTTTGGTTTACTAGATTTTCATTATTTACATTAAAGTTGTTTTTCTTTCCAAGTTATATTGGTAACTGCATACTCAAAAATGGAAAGCCATGGAGTTGATGTTAGGATATTAGGAACATGCCGGTTCAATAAGAATATTTCTCCAAATACTGTAACCAGAATGATAAAATTACTGGAATGCTTGGTGGTTGTTATCTTTTCACTGAATTAAACAGAGAAAGAGGAGCAAGAGATTTGTCATTGGTGAACATCTTAACCAATGCAGGTGACTTCCAATAGACTACCCATAATCCTTCATGAAACGTAAATTATCTCCGACTAAATTACCCAGAATAGAAAGTTCAAGAACTAAATTTTCTTCCTTAAAAACAATCTATATCTGAGCCAAACAAAAGTATTTCCAAGTAACTTTAAAGAAGTGTTTACGAGCTCTAATGAAAGCATCACTAACTGAACATTATTTACAAATTACAAAAGATGTAGAACTGGGATAATAAGATAAGAAGACGGGACTAGCTGTAATCTGACTGCAAAGACTTAAGAAAAAAATATGTCAATCACACTGATATCTAGTAGACTGATTCAAACATCTGCATAAGGCTCCTTGGAACTTATAAGACTAAATAAAGTTGCCCCTGTTTATGAAAACTAAGCAAGTACTCTTTTCCCCATTATCTTTCATGCTATAGGTTCATTTCTTGACACACCATTCCTTTTTAATCAAAAGTTGAAAAGATAATCACAGGGCCTTTCAAAAATTTTTAATGACGCCTTTGCCCAACCCTTTACATGCCCCCGCCCCCAAACACCAAACCCTCTGCTTTCTCAAGCCGGAAAGTCTTCCTCATTTAGGCATTCCCTCCTGGCACACCCCCTACCAGCAGCCCCCCTCACCCCCGTAGGCCAGAGGCCCCGTAGCAAACAGAGTCGAACAGGAGCAGGCAGCACAAAGACAGGAATGGGAGATTAGTGGGAGGGAGGGAGGCCGGGATTGGGGCTCAGCAGGAGCTTCAGGCTTTTTAAAATTCAAACTGCTCCCCGACCAATACAAATCACGGACACGCTACTGACTACTACACGGATTTATAGCATTAAAAACATGCCTAGTACGTGACAGCTATATTACCTTCACTCTTTTTAACATGTATCCATACGTTTGCAGGAAGTGGGGAGCAATTTTTTAAAGCAGAATGTTAAACTCAAAAGTAACCCGCAGAAAAGTTACTTATTCCATCAACAGAGATAAAAACTTAAGACACAAAATACTTAAAACAAAATTTAACCATTACTATTACAACAAGGGATGTTACCGAAGTGCTGCTTCCTTTTAACAAATGAGTTTTCCTTCAGCGAGTAAGAAACAAAATAGCAAACGGGATATTTCTTTTTCTGTGCAGTCTGTAAAGCCTGACGATTTAAAAAAAAAAAAAAGGTATTTCCATCTCGCGCCAACTTCCATTACCGAAGCTGCCACAAACAAGCGCCCAACATTTGCCTTCCTCGGGAACTAGAGCTTGTTAAGGTACAGAACTGGTATTTGTCTCCAGCATTTACAGATACATTTGACCTATTAAAATGACACCTCGCTCATTACACAGTCAAACATCATGGTACAAACAGCCAATGACAATCCTGGGACCTCACGAAGATCTGCCCTGACAAGAAAGGACTTCTACTTGTGTGTATGTGTGTGTTTTAAAACCTCCCAAAGAACTGAAGAGTAACTTAACTTCTATCCTTTGAAAGGAAATAGGTTTCATCCTTATCTCGGCCTAAGCTCAGAACGTTTCCAATTCTTTGTAAAGCCTGCACACGCTTAGGCTAGGAAGTACCTGAAGGGTTCATGTACAGTCATGTAAAATTATCCTTACATAACACACACAAATCCAAAGTGGCAGAGTATACCTGTCAAGTACTTTACTTAGCTCTGACTATAAAGTCCATGTGCAACACACACTGTCAAACAACAGAAAAGCTCCCGGGCGAGGAGGTGCCGCGTCTACTACGCTATGGCTTTCTATATTAAATATACATGCGGACGGTTTGAGCCTTCTACAAAGAAAACGAGGCTTTATTAACTTTCCAACCTCCAAACAAGTTTGGCAGAGCCTTCCCACCGGAGCCGGGGCTGAGTATTTACATTTGTTTCACTAACTGAAACTACTTCCTCCCTTCATGGGGTCACAGGGGGAAGAAGGGGGGTTGTTTGTTTCACTGGGACGTTCCCCACTCCCGGACCGGGAAAGTTGTAAATATGGGGACGATCGGGGCACATTGGCCGATAGTTGTATTGTTTCCGCCTCCTCACTAGCTCCGGCTCCTCTCCCGGGCGAGGCCTGTCACCGACCAGCCGTCGCTCCGCTCAGCCCGGAGCTCTCCTAATCCCCGAGCTCAAGTAGATTCCGCTGGCCCGCGGCCTGCACTCTCCGCCGGGCCTACGCCTCCCCGGCCGCCCGGCAGGAGCCCCCGCTTCCCCGTCACCCAAGCCGGCCGGGCGAGAGGGGGGAACCAACCCGCCGCCACCCAGGGTGCCCGCCGTCGGGAGAAGGAGCGAACTCTCGACTCGCCCCGTGGAAGAGACCTGGGGCCGCTGAGGAAACGGCGGGGAGGGGAAGAGAGGAGGAGAAACGCTGAGGACCTGGCGCCGGCGCCTCCGCCGCCGCCGCCACCGCCGCCACTGCCGCCGGAGCCGCCGCCGAAATAAAGAGCAGGAATTTACCTGGGCGAATCGGCGTCTGAATCCGAGCGGAGGCCGAGGCCGCTGTGGCGAGAGACTATAATCCGGGCCGGGAGGGGGGGTGGCTACGGCTCCTCTTCCGTCTCCTCAGTGCAGGGAACATGTAGAGCCGGGGGGAGACCAGCCGAGAAGACAAATCGCTGCTTCTTCTTCCTCCTCCTCCTTCTCCCACATAGAAACACTCACAAACACCCGAGCAGGGGCCCGAGCTACCGGGGGGGCATCGCCGCGGGCCCGGGAACCAATCCTCCTGTCGGCGGGGGCGTCCCTCCCTGCGGCTGGCTGGTGTCGGGTGAGTCGGTACCGACGGAGGGAGGGGGGGGAGGGCGGGCGGGGGGAAGGAGCCCTGTGTGTGTGTCTCTCTCTCTCGTTCCGTCTCTCCCTCTCAGAACAAAATGCCGACCGGAAGTGCAGCTGCAGGAATGACTCCCTCCGCCGGCGCCAAACACTAACAACCACCCCCTCTTCCCCACTCCACTTCCGCCACCGCCGCCGCCGCCGCAGCCGCCGTCGCCGCCAGTCGGGCTCGCAGCTCGGCCTCAGAGGAACCGGTTCCCGCGGACCCGGGGCCTCGGCGGCGGCGACGGTGACGGCGGCGTTTCTTCTCGGCGTCCTTGTCCCGCCCTGGACGGCCGCCGCCCGCGGTGTCGCTCCTGCCGGCTGCCGGGCGGCGTAGCCCGGGGGCCCGGTTCTCCCCGGCTTGAGCGCTCCTGGAGGCGACAGCAGCCGGGCGCTGGGCCGGTGCGGTGGCCGAGCAGCCGGGCGCGCTCGCTCGTCTCGAGCGCTCCGGGCCTCACAGGCCGCGGACGGCGGCGAGCGGAGGTCGCCCTGCGCACCCTGCCTCGGCGGCCATCAGCCCCGGGGAAGCCGAGCTCGGCCGGCCGGCCGGCCGGTGGATGCCGACGGTGTGCCTTGTAAACGGTGTCCCCGCAGCCGTGATGGATGGATCGCACGCCTCCCGTCCTTGGAGCGGCCGGACTCTATCCGTCTGTGTTATTTCTGCGGAGGACACAATGCTCGGAGGGGAAGGCTCCCAGCCTGGCTGAGTTTGGAATCGTGATCGTGATGCATTAAGTTCTGGAAATACACGGGCGCTGATGGATTTGCTTTTTTTTCTTTCTTTCTTTCTTTTTTGACGGTGGTTTGATTCATCCCTGATAGTCGGGCTAAGGCCTGTAGGCGACGCTGTGCGAGCGAGGAGCGCGGCGGTCTCGGTGTGGGTGGAGCCGAGGCCGTCGGGACGCGGGGCACCGGAACCCGGGGACCGGCGCACTTCAGACGACGTTTTCCTCTTCATGTTTGAAACTCAGGCACTGGACAAGGCTGGAGTACAAAATGTGAATAGACATATAGTACCGGGCCTGTCTGTAGTGTCTTATTGTAAGACAAGAGGGAATTCCATCGCTACACAGCTTTCTCTATTTTTTCTTTTTTGTAAAAGGGGGCTGTTCTTCAGGTAGGTAAGCGGATTCTTCTCAGGAGGAAACATACTATTTTTTTTAAATGAATTAAGTTGTCAGCTTCAGATTTTATTCGTATGTGTACAGATGTGCTAGAAGGATGTGGGGCAGCTCACCTACAGGTTTTTCTGTTTTTTTAGAAGTCGCTGGGGGCGAGGTATTAAGATTTTGTCTTTACTGCCCTCCTGACCCTGTGGAGTAAGTCAGGGGCTAACGAGTCTGTGAAGCAAGGAACGGGGAAGAAAGGAACCCGACTGGCGCCCTTGCAAATAGAACTGTGTCTCGTCCTGCTGCTGCTGACTTTCCCCAGAGCGTCCGTTGAAGTTGTCTCCGTCTTCAGGGTTCCGCTCGGGTGCCACCTGGTGCCTCCACCGCTCCTGTTTACCTTCTAGGTTGGCGGCTTCCTTCTCATTCCGTCATCCGGGCTTTCAGTCTTGCCTTACTCTTTGCCCAGTAGTCCGGCAGCTTGAGGAGATGAAGTTTAGCTTTCCTTCGCTGGTGTTCTGTGTGCATCGCGCTGTGGATGCCTCAGGCGCCCCCCTCCCTTATTTCTGAACTCTACCCTTTAATACGAGCTTATCTATACCTAAAAGAACAGATGGTGAAAACAAGAAAAAATATAGACGGAACGGAGGTAAGTTTATTAGAGGTCAGGAAAAGATCGCTTCTGGACACTCGAAAGCTCATAAAGGTGATGGTTGCTTTTCTCTAGATGATGTGACAGAGGCCAGTGCACTTGTTGATCAAATGACCTTTCCCATAGCGAGCTGATTCACTGTGCTCTCGTGAGTCACAAAACTTCATTCTTAATCCTGTCTGCCCTCCTTGCAAAATACACGCCGTTGTGACTAAACCGAAGTCTAAGAATTTGGTGGGCTCAGCTAAAACACAGCACTACTAGGAGAGCTCATTGAGCAAGTATTTATTGGTCACACAATGTGCGGCACTGTGAGTCAAAAGGTGTATGTTTCAAAGGCTGCCAGGCCCTGTATAAAGGACCACATATGGCTGCTTTGGGTACTCTTATTATGCTGCTGTCGAGAAAAGCAAAAGCTAGAGGAGTTTACTTGTAGGTTTGCTAAAGATTCTGTGAGAGATGAGGGCAAGCTTCGTGTCAGTATTTTACTCACCGCTGAGGGTGGTGTTGATTTACCTTTGCTTACCTTATTGTAGCACTTGAGATACCAATTGAAGATGATTTTGAAAACTATAAAGGTAGGAAATTTGATTTCCTAGTAGCAGGAAAAGTAGGTCTTCACTACTTCACTAAAGCAGTAAACTGGAGCTGTATAGAAAAGGCTTTAGTTATATTTTAAATTTCTTTATTTCATTTAGAGTATTCTTGGACAAGAATACAGTTTTAATAACTATTTTACACCCATTAGCTTAAATAATTAAATATTATTTAGTTACAGTCAACAGTCTGCTTGATATTAATTTTGAGAACAGATTTAAGTAACTTACAAATGGCTTAGAATACTTTTCACTCAGTTTCAAAGTTCGTTTTCCTTATGGAAGCACAATTATCTTCCTGTATACTTTCTTGAATGTTACTGGTGAGCTATTAATTTTGCATGCCTCAGTAAAGACAGTTGATAGGCTGTTTAGTACAAAGTCTTGGCATGGTTGTAGCATTTAATCCAAACTTAAATTTAAAAAACATAATTTGGTGTGTGCATGTTAATTTGTGAGGGTGTATATGTGTGGAAGCCAGAGGTGAATTAAGGTGTCATTCCCCAGAAGCTGCCAACTTTTTTTTTTTTTAAGAGAAGGTTTCTCCTGGGATTTGGGAATCTGATTAGGTAAACTAGCTATTTGAAAGTCCCAGGGATCCACCTGTCTTAGCAGACATGTGTGCACCACCATGTCCAACATGCAGGGACCCAAATCAGGTCTTCGGGTTTATATTTTACCAACTGAGCAATCTCCCCACACCCAAAATTAATAACTTTAATTTATTCCCTCAAACATATTGAAGATTTATTAGGTGCTAATTAGCTCTTTTCTAGGCACCTCATATAAAATAGTGAATGAAAGCAGACAAGGGCTCACTTTCTTTGAAGGTTTTTCCGATCCCAGAATTAAATAATTTCAGCACTTAAGAGTATTTCCTCGTGGAATCAATTGGTATTTTGCTTTCCTAAATTTAAGATCTTTGTTGTTTTGAGTCAGGCACTCACTACGGAGTGCAGGCTGGCCTTGATTCTTCACCCTCCTGTCTCAGCTTGCCCACACTGAGATGAATGGTACCCACCCCTACACAACGACTTCAAACTGAGCTCTTTCATAGTCTCAGTTACTCTGCTGGTGATGTTGTTTTCTCGTTGTTTGCTCAACACCTGTCTTCCTCAACACTGCTAGTATGTTTTGCTTCTAGATTTTTAACTTATCTCTAAAGCCAGTTGATTTTTTTGCACCTTGTATCAAGGAGGGAATTTCCTGACTCATTTATTTGCTGGGAATGTTCATGTCTATTCCCATTTGTATTTTTGATCTGTGGATTACAAAGATATACAGTATTTTAGATGGACTTTTTAACTGTGATGTTATTGCCAGAAAATTGGCAAAGCTGATTAATTTATATATTAGTGAATATTTATCTTCAAGATGGTTGCAATTTGCCTTAAAGTAATAAGAATAAAAGATTTTTAAAAATGATCTTGTCACTATTTATATCTGACAATAAAATAGGAACACATTTCTAAGAGGGAGAGAACAGCAGATTAAAAACAAACTGTGTATGTCTTGTGGATTATTTTATAATAGACTCAAAATTACTTCATATTTAGCCTAAGTAAATTACCTTTAGATTGACTTAAACTTTGGTGAAGAGTTAAAGATGCTAATTTTGAGGGTAGAACTTAAAACTGTCAGATGACTTAACATAAATATATTACTATTTTAGCTTTTGTGGGTTTGTTAAAAGATTTTTATTTATGTGTGTTTGGTGGGGATATCCTCAGAAGTCAGAAGAGGGAGCTGTAGCCCTCAAGTTGGACTACAAATTCTTGTGCACCGCTGGGGCCGGTGCCATGGTGCTAGGAACCAAGCAAGCCTCTGGAAGAAAAGGAGGCACCCTTAGCCACTAAGCCATCTCTCTAGCCTCATTTCAGGTTTGTTTTTGTGTGTTTGTCTTTTGTTTTTGTCTTTTTGAGGCAGGGTCTCACTGTGTAGATCTAGCCGAGAACTCACTTTGTAGACAAGGATAGCCTCATACTCAGAGAGCCACCTGCCGCTGCTTCTGCCTCTGCAGTGCTGGGATTAAAGGCGTGCACCATCACCTGACTCACAAGTTTTAAAATAAATATTTATCTTGTTTGTGTGTGCGCGTTTACTAGGTTACGTTTCTAAGTATATTCCTTACCGTGAGTTATAGCTGTAAGCAAAAGGAGCATGTTTTCTGTGTGTTCTTTAGAACAAAGCAAAGTTCAGATTTTTGTTTATTTTCCCCCTAGAAAATGGAAAAAGGGAATGTTAGAATGTTGCCTATAAAATAGTAAACTTTAGAAGAGACACTAAATATTTTAAAGGAGATTTGATGCTCTTTTCAAAAAGGTATCTTCAGGGTTAAGAGCAGGAAATAAAAATGTTGGTTTAAAATGTCAATCATAATTCAAACTGTACAGAAAAAGTGTTTTCCTGATGGGTCTGTATCCGATGTACTTAGTAGATCAGGGACTATTGCTAATCTGTTTGGTGCATTTTGTAAGCTAACATTTAGTACAGCAAAATAATAAATGTGGGACAAATGTAAGGTTTTTGTTCCTTCCTTAACTTCCTTCTCTTAACTTTTATACCCATGTTCGTAAGAAAACTAATTGCCATCTTTTGCAGAGTAATTATCATAAGAATAAATTGTGTTTCAAAGTTATAAAAACTGTCCCCATTCAAAAAAAAAAAACAACCATTCAATAAGGTTTCTCTACTTAGTTAGCTTCAATTTCCTACACAGTTTATCCTGTTTGTTGAAATAAATGTGCTTAAAATTGTGTATAGAATTTTAAAATGGGAAAGGTACAAGAATTGTGAACATAATTAAGAGAAGTGTGTAATGAAAATATGTGTGTGTAACCCAAAGAAGGTAAGAGGTTTTTAATAAAATGTCAACACCTCATTACACTTTCATCTTACTCTCTATGGAGTTCAGTATTTTACTGTGGTCGATTTAAGAGAATTAAAAAGCCCTGGCTTTCAACATATCTGAGAGGCCAGCCAGCTACGTATCAAGAACCTGTTTCAAAAAACTAAACCTAAACAGAAATGTTTTTTCAGACTTCTGGTGCTGGATTCCTTTAAGTAACAGGTACATTAAACCCTACATTTTTTAAAAAAGTGGCTAAGCATAAATTTTACCAGGGAAATAACTCCAGTTGAACCAGATCCTGTGTGCTTAGCAACACACTGATTAGTGCCCTGGAAACTGTGTTCTCCACTCACCAGCAGGGGGAGTGAGTTGCCTTGAAAGGTAAGCGTTAGCCAGGCCACATGACTTCCTGTTTTGCATTTAACTGTTGCAGCAGCTGTTCTGCTTTAGTCTGGTGTGGCAAAAGCAATCAGAAAGGGACAAAGGCTACTAGTGTCAGATGTGGGGATGGTGACATGTTTAACCACCAAAATTACCTTAGAGGGAGCAAATTGGGGGTAAACTTGAAGATCCTAACATTTTAATGTTAAACAGTCTTACACTCCTGGTTAAATTAGGAACAGCTCAAGAAAGAATAATGAAACAAAAAAGTCTTTTAAAAACCAGATGTTAAAAACTAAGATGTAAAATATGCAAACTGCAGAATACTAATTCTCATTTTACTCTGGGTGGTGAAAGGTGAATCGGAGCAAAGGAGAGAGCACCAAACATGAAGGAGAGAAATGTAAATAGAAACAGAAGTGGGGACATCACTGTGCTGTAGTCTAGGGTGGACAAACAGAAAACAGTGACTTAGAGCATGGCAAATTGCTCTGCAGATGTCAGAGTCAGCATTTCTTAGTACTTTGTATTTAAAGTTGAAATTCGGTTCTAAATAGACACATTTTAAAAATACATATAAGTAGAACAAAATTTTGGTTTCTAAGTATACACTTCAGCTAAGTGATACATTTTGCTAGAATATTTTTACTATGAAGTGATTTTTCACTTTAAACACTGAGAATAGAATTATTTTCATTTTCCTCCATAAACACAACAAATAGTGCAATAGTGTCTTTGTAAGATTTATTTGGAGCTGTGACTGAGTGATGTGTCAACTTTTAATGTCTCATAAGCCTCAAAATGCCTAGACACATGTTAAATTAATAAATATGATCTATTTGTTATTTCAAGTAGAACTTTTTAAGACCTGGGTTTTAACTGACTGCATCAAAATAAATTTAAAGGCTCACACTGTGAAGCTAAACAGTGAGCTGAATTGTGGTAGCCTACATCTTACCTAATAGAAGGTTGCAGCAATGCTGGCAGACCTGCCTCAGACGATGGATCCAGTCAACTTCTAGTCAAATGTATGTTAACTCATTTATTCATTTAAAAATGTTTCTTGAGCTCTTCACTACTTCCATATCATGTAAAAACTTTCATTATAAACTAGACAAAGCCCTAAATTCACTGAAAATGCCACTGAAAATTTGGACATTTGTACAAATTAAATGTGTGCCACCAGTTCTAAGGAAATGGTCCTTCGGAGGAGATCATTTAGCAATGGGGCTAGAGATAGTATTAATGAAGGATTTCGAGGTCAGCTCTCTTGTAATGCTCCTGTTATTATGTCTGTTATGTATGTCCTGGTATTAAGTCTGTTTTAATTATGAAATGAGTTTGAAACAAAACTCATCACATGTCCTTCCTACAGGGACCAACCTAGGCCCTCTGTGTGTGGGTGACAGTTGTGTAGCTTGGTCTTTTTGTGGGGTCCTTAGTGGTGGGACCAGGATCTATCTTATTGGAACTTATTCCTTATGGTGGAGTTCCTTGCTTAGCCTTGATGCAGGGAGGATGAACTTGTTCCTACCTCAACTTGATAGGTCAGGCTTTGTTGATGCCCCATGGGAGGCCTTACCCTTTCCGAGGAGTGGGTGGAGGGGGGGGTAGAAAGGAGGTGAGGGAAAGAAAAGGGAGGAGAGGAGGAAGGAGAAACTGGTTGGTATGTAAAATAAATTTTTAAAAATTAATTTAAAAATTAACTGGCTTGCTTTAGAGCTTTGAATGTGATGGCAGCAAGGAATTCAGATAAAGCCTCATGTTTAGTTTGTATTTACATTAAATCTAGCTATAGTATTGCTATAAGAACCTTATAGTTATGAATGCTATCTCTCTAAGGAGTGCTCATTAGAAAACTAGTTTGGAGGATTATTAAATTAATGAAAAGAATATCATGAAAATATGTGGATTTGTGGATCCAAACTTGGAGGATGGCTGATCTTTAGGTTGGAATGAACAAGACTGGTGTAGAGGTGACATCTGTAATCACAGCACTTGAAGCAGAAGAATCATGAGTTCATGGCCAACCTAAGCTACATAGTAAGACCCTGTCTCAACATAGCAGCAACAAAGAAGGATGTGATAAAACAATGTTGTAAACCTATAGAGCTTTCAGTCACTGAGCACATGGACCATCTACGTCCAGGAAACAGTAGATGGGAAACGAGTAATTGTTTCTTTTCTCATTTGCTAATGACATAGATCACTATCTATCTAGTAAGTTGCATCAGAAGCACTGTGAAATTACTGAGGCTCATGAGGGTTTTAATAAAGCTTTGCAGCATGGTGGATTTTGAATGTCATTGAAGTAATTTCCAAATAGCCGACAGGGAAATACAGGAACTAAATCCGTTATTCTGATGAGGAGGTAGAGCATATAAAAACATGAATTAGAAGGTTTTATAATCTGAAAACAATTTTGGATGCAACAGATAAAGAGGCTGAGATGTACTCTAGTCCAGAAGAGTGGCTTTTAGTCTCACAGGTAAATACAAAAGCTTTGCATTTTCGGATAGTTGCACAGTAACATTAGAACTGCTACCCACGTTACCCAAACAAGGAAAAGTAGCAGACCTGGAAATGACATACAATTACAAAATATGAATCTAGTTGTTTAAAGTAGCTG